TATTTTAGACTCGATTTCCGCCGGTCCCTTGAGTCCGGTCTACTACGGCGGGCTCCTTTCCCAAACAGCGGCTGATAATCGAGCCTATTTTTCCCCCAGAAAAAAGTTCGCACGCGCGCTGTTTTCAAGGAAACACTCACAAACTATATATCAATACTGAGAAAGGTTATGAAATGTAGAATTCTATAAAATTTATATATTCTGTTTTCCAATTGCTTTCCTAAGGCAGCAGAAGCCGTTAACGCCAAAACGACCGACTGAAACTCCGACGAATTAATCGGGTATCAAATGCGATCGATAATGTAAAATAACTGCGTTAATCACAAAGCATCAGTCTCTTAAAATGTGTCAGCATTTTTTTTATTTCTATTGGTTATCTTTTATAGATCTGTCAAGTTCCACAATAGGAAAATTCGCGTAACGTGTTGCGCTAGAGGCCGCCACGACAAAAGTATTTAAAATAAAAGAGTTGTCCTGCACCCTTTTGTTTCTTATCTATCAGTGAATGTTCCGAGTCTAGGACCTCTAGTATCGGCCTCCTCCGCACACTTTCTTTCGCCTACAACCGTGGACAAAAGCCCTCGGGACACTTATGTAATTTAACGAATTATCTGTGCTTTACAACTGAAGTTTGAAAAAAGCGCTGCTTTCCTTTTAAAAACGCGTTACTGTTCCCCCTCCCCACACAATGTTGAAAATCAGAAGAAATTGCAGTTTCTAGTTTTCAACATTGTATAGGGGGAGGGGGGCGAGGTTAGGCAGGTGAAGTAGCATTCGCGTCTGGCGTGTGCGCAAAAGCGCCAAAAGTGCAAATTTGTCCCTAGACTTTTGTCCATGATTGTAGGTCCCTTTGGGATGATCTGGATCTGGATCAGAGATCCAAGATCACTCAAATCATGGTACATCAAAGGAACCGATAAACCCACTCTGGTCATGGATTCATCTGCTCCTTTGATGCACCATATCTGACTGGTCAGTTGGATCACGGATCCTGATCCAGGCCATCCCAGAGGAACGCACCAAATGTCAGCGTTCAATGCTGTGTATCGATGTGTAATATGCTAAACATTGCATCTTTTTCATGGTAGTTGGTCACGTGACCAAGTCATTCACACTCAATCTGGATAAGAGGTATAAAATGTGTGCCGGATATCCGGATTAACAAGTTAGCAAGTCGAGCAAGCTCATTAAGTGATAAGCTCCTAGCTTCCGCAAAAATAAAACAAATTAGAACTATTTACACGGCAAGGGCTTGTGCCGGTGTCACTGTTTTTATCGTATCATATTCGTATTTAAAACCGTATATCTTGACCCATGTACTTCTGTTCAGCAAATGCGAAAACAAAAATTCGACTCAGTGACCAGGAGGTATGCTATCAGTGAAACACTTGTTTGGTCCGGCCTATTGCTTCTTGAACATCTCAAACCCATTGCACTGTAACAATCGACCAATAAATCTAATGAGGCAAACTCTGAAATGATTTTCTTTCTATTTACTTGCCTTTTATTAATGCGGATTTCCTTCGTGTGAATGACTCTGTTTTGATGATAAGGTTTGTGACGCACTTTCAGCTGATAGGCAAATAAAACGAACGAAACTGGGCGCGGGATCACTCACGAGGACCCCTTTTTCAGTTAGAAATGAATCATTGAAAATGAAAACTGCATGGGTCTCAATTATTGTTTAATGCTAGTCTCACTACAATTCAAAACATTGCGATAAAATTGCTAATTGCTAATAAAATAGTATGTTATATTTACTGCCCAGTTTGTTTACGTTTGAATTCAGCCTTTTTTGGCAATTTATCTAATTTGATAAATTGTACGGGACCGGGAAAAATGTAAATTTTTTCTTGAACTTTGGTGAAAAGATTTGAACATTTCACAGCATTTCAACTTTCCTTCATAGCCAGTAGTGCAAACTGCCGCAGTATTGGACATATCCTGTGGTCAATTGTATATGTTTAACAGAAACAATGTTGGATAAAACCTTGCTATGGTAACCTTTGACTTTCATGATAAATGTTTCGATCCTTCATCATTGTTACAACTGAAAAACGGAAATTAGTTTGGAAGGTGCAAGAGACTGCTACTTTCGAATTTTTTATTCATCAGGAACTTCTCCTTACTCCTTGTTGCGTTGTTATAATTAAATAAAGTTGTGCAAACTCATACAAATCACATCTCAACTCTTGACACAGTAGATTGTCTCTGCTTCCCTGTCATTTCCTCCACCGGCACGACAAGGGAACTAAATTGTTTGATCAATGGTTCAAAACAGCCTTAAAACAATCGGTGATCCTCTTCAAAGCTCAATACTGAGTCCAAGTGTCAAAGCAAACGGGCCATTAAAGTGAAATGAATCTGCCAGGTGTAAACGGTGGGCGCGCATAGGAAATAACTCATTAAAACAGCACCTTGTGTTTGTTGGTCAATATTTCGACTCCCGCTGTTGTGTAAAAAAGATGTATTCAATATCAGAAGTCTGCTTTTGCTCGTTGTCAAATTAGTGGGTGAGTAATTTGTTTGTCATCTTTTTTAAAGAAGTAAGACTCTGTGGTTTGTACTGATCAGCGGAAGCTGAAGGAAGACGAAAATTTTCCCCTTTCTGCGCAATGAAGCGTGCCAACAGCAACTCAGCAGTCTCGAGACTAGGCGAGAGCGCGTACAATGCGCTAGTCCTGACAAATCAAGTGAACGGAGGTGAAAAACGGATTCTGCACTACAGTTATAATTTAACGACGGAAGCGGGTCAAGAGGATACCTACGGCGATTTGGAAAAAAATTACCCACTATACAGATCCGAGCGAATGATCCACGCACACAGCCAAGAGGAGAAGCATGTCTTCGAGAAGAAGAGAATTCAGCGGAGTAGCAGTATCCCTTTACCAGGGCGACGTATACCCCACAAGAAGTCCGAAAAAGCCTTAGAACGTTCAAAGGCTTCGGAACGTATGTTTTACGGCGGAGCAATGCAGGGCAACGCGGAAACGTCCACTACGCAAGACGTTTCGGAGGCAATGACCGCGGAGAATCCCGAAATGCTAACTAACGGTTCGCGTGAAAGTCATTCGCGCAAATTAGGGCTCGGGGAAACGACGAACAATTCACTTATGAGTCACAAACTCAGGAAAAAGGCGGTTTGTGATACTACAGATAACTCTCATTATCAGAGACAGTTCCTGCGAGTTTTGAACAAGCGGTTCTGAACGCGAACGTAGAAGGTTCCCTCATATCTACTGCATAGATCTGAGCAAGTGGTATGTTGCCTTAAGAACTGTGCTGTATGTATGTGTATATAGTCGACTTATTAACAAAACTAAAAATAGAAAAAGGAAACATGAACGTGCTCGTTCGCATAGGGTATAGATAAACACTAACCATGAATTCAAATATTCTATAATGCAGATATCTTAATTATAAACACACCGGCTAGTAACTTTCAAGACATCTAAATAAACATGAGGAGATCCCGTTCGCAATTTTGCTGAATATATACCATAAGTTTTTGTAAATTTTCTAGATCAAGAGATTGAATTTCGCCGTGTTCAAACGCTAGTTGTCTTTTTCTTTGAAACTGAATCGAGATTCGAAACTAAAAAATGAAATATCTTGTTATTCGAACCAAGGTTCGATCCGGAGTGAGAATCATTCCACATGCAAATTCGTGTTATGTTTACGAACGTCAAAACCCCTTTGCGGGCTGCGTGCAATCGAATTTGATTAGGCGTCTAGAAATACAAAAAGAGATCTTGAATATTACAGGTGGCAGTCTTGATATAACAGATCATATTCCTTTTGTGTTTTATTCAACTGACAAAATCAACCAATCTCCGGTGATACGGAAATCGAATCATGAAATAGGCTTGCAAAAGTTAATGTTCTAAATGACTTTAAGGATATAAAAGCCACGAAATTGAAGAGATATGTCAAATTTGAAATTTGATCTTTCTTTAGAAGTTATCATCATGAGTTAAATATTAAATAGGCAGCTTGCCAGCCATTGTATGAATAGATATGGCCATCTGTAAGTTCAATTTCAGATGCAATGAATATGCATCGTGATATTTTAAGGCAGACGTCGTTAGAAAGGCGAAAACCACCTGATTATGATCATAAAGGTTTGTTTTGTGAAGGAAAAAAATTCTCTGGGCGAGAGGTTCACGCGTGCTCAGTTGTCAATAGCTGTAGTCGATGACAGTGTAGCCGCGTGAAAATGAAGTAGCCTGGCATCCCCAACGCAAGGTAGCTCTTGCAAAATTTGAGAAGTTGTCGTTGCCTTTCTATAACTAACAGAAAGAAGAGAATGTGGAATAGCAACGCTTTGGGCGAATTTTCCGAAGAACTCATTGGCATCAAGAAAATAAACACCAGTAATATTCTGGCCACTTGTTTACCTTCTCTGCGATGTCTACATTAGAACGACAAATCAGTCTTTCAGATCGTGGAAATGACGAACACTTTGCAGAGAAATCACTTTAAGGCCCCAGTTATATGATCTCGGATACCCCGGACAACCCTCCTCCCGAGGCAACAGTATCGAGCTTTTATATGTGCAAACGTAGTCCCTATAGGCCGAGTCAAAGTTGACCCTGCACGATTATTCGTATCCCTTATTGAATAATCAAATGTGCAAATATCCCTCTTTCTTTGCGTTTCCCTCGGTCATTCGATCACAGTGGGGTTTGCCGAATTAATTTTCACTTCTTTGATACGAGTTTCTGCTTTAAATAAATCCTAAATCTAGGCATTACGTGACACTCGCCACGCCGAGAGTTGTCCCGGTTAAGCGAGCCAAAACATTTATGTGAAGAAAAGTTGTCCCGCTTGCCAGGGTTACCCTTCCTACCGGGGCGAGACAACTCGCCCACTCGAGTTGTCTTGTTCCTCGGGACGGGTCCGCGGTCCAACTGTAAACGGATGGTTGAATTTTGCAAAGAAATAAACTGAAAGTTACCTCGGCTATGGTGGTTGTCTCGTTTACCCGAGACCATATAAATGGGGCCTAAGTTTTGAATTCTTTGAGCATGCTATAGCGTCGTGTCTATGAGGGTAATGAGCGTAAACCAGCGTATATGGCCCAAAAATCGTCAATTAAGTTGGCTAAGGTAGAGGGAAAAGAGCCAATTACATTCTATGTAAACAGTGTAGCTGTTGTTGTCTTAACCTAATAATAATAATAATAATAATAATAATAATAAAATATTTATAACCTACAACGGGTAACTAAGGGGTAGAGGGTAACAATATTATCAGGGACAACTCGAGTCCGCTCTCCCTCGTGTAAACAGTCTCTAAGTGATCCAGTGACAACAAAATATTTTTTTATTCAAAATGTTAACGTTTGGCCTCTTATCGAGGCTGGACAGAGCACGAGTTGTTACGCCTATTTCATTTAAAAGATTGCTATCACCAATAACCTACGTATTTTCCACGTCCTGTAATCTGTTTTTTGCTTTTCTTTGCTCGTCTCGAGAACTGTACTCAATTAATATCAATATTACCGCTAAATAAAAATTACCTCTTTGCTCGCCTCGAGAACTGTACTCAATTAATATCAATATTACCGCTAAATAAAAAATTACCTGCTGATCGCTCTCAGAATGAAAAAATAATACCGAAGTCCTTTTAACGTGCACGTAAACCAAACTTTAACTCAAAGCTCAGGAAGCTAATATTCCCTGCATAGCAAAATCATCTTGTTTGATCAACACACTCGGCAGCTTCTCTTACAGTAAATTAGCATGAAGTTTGGATTCCTCTGACATTCTCGCCGTCCGGCCCAAAAGGCACATAATCTGTTTTGATCTGTGCAGCTCCCTAATAAGTCAAAAATAGTTTATCATGATAAGAACAACAAAGATTTCTCTTTTTCCAACTGACAGTCGTTTCGAGCATGTAGCAGCAATGTAAGAATAAGAGAGTTTGAAGGGTTAGAGAGTTCATGCTCCATGTAGCCCTTACTTCTAAGTAATCCCTCTCAAGTGATGTTTAGATGACTCCAGGTTTAGGAAATCCCAGGAGAGTCTAGTAATATCCAATCCGGTGACGAAGGTTTTGTTCACGGGGGTAACCCAAGCGCATGTTAAAAAAATGGCGAATCGTGTGAAGGAAAGGATAAGCCCACTTAACCTTATCTTATAGATTAAATGAAATAAAAATAAAAATAAATAAGTAAAATTACCACCGCCGCCGCACTTGTTGCACGCTTTCTTGCAGTTTTTCCACATGTAACCTGGGTTTCTTCTACATTCTCCTCTTCTTGCCCACGTACCACAAAAGTAATGGTTATCTTTACAATCTACTAGAAACAAGCAACAGCGAACACACCTTGAGTTAAGCTGTGCTGCGCATTGAATGAAAGATTGCCAATCTTTCATATTTTCATATATACTCGCACAGTAATTGCAAACGATCAAAGAAGTCGACCGATCGAGGTTCGTTAAATTTGCATATCCAGAGGGCCCTTCATTGTTACAACTTCGCACTGTTGTTGTTGTTGTTGTTGTTGTTGTTGTTGTTGTTTTTCGGTTGTTGATGACCGAAACGAATCATCGTGCCGTTTATAATGATGCATAGCAAGTGGCCGATTTAAGTTAAATAACTTCCTTAAGAATGGTAAATAAAAATAAATTCTGCTCACCTGGTGGACGAGGCGTTTGAGGCTTTGGAGGGGGAGGGGTGTTAGGGGGAGAAGGAGTGTTTGGCGGGGGAGGGGTATTAGGAGGAGGTGGGGTATTAGGAGGAGGAGGGGTGTTTGGAGGGGGAGGGGTGTTTGGAGGAGGAGGGGTATTAGGGGGAGGTGGAGTATTGGGTGGGGGTTGAGTATTTGGAGGTGGGGTTGATGGTTTTGTCCCCACGGGTCGCTTCGTCTGAAAATCCATTAAGACCCCTCGGCCATCTAACAGAGAGAGAAAATATAAGACATAACACGTAAACCATTTGTTTTGGCTGATACATAACAAACTGGTGAGACGGTGCTTGAAAAAGATCACTTCACACAAAAAAAGTTGGAAAAGAGAAAAAGAGAGGTAAGATCCTTCAGAATTATTTCTACAATAATGCTGTTCATAAGTTTTACTTTGACCTGCACAACTGACACTTACTTTTGTCGCAATTCATTTTGAAGTGATATGGCTTCACACCTAAAGAGATATTCACAAAACATTCATTAGGAACGTTACTCGGTCATGTGGTAGGGAAGGTTGGAATGAAATAACAGGAAACTATGTATCTATTAACTTGAAGAATTTCTCTTTTCTGGTGTAGTTATGACTTTTTTCCCCAGACCAACTTTCAGGGCTGTGTCCTTTAGCGTCATTGTCGCTACTGACGTAGAAAACTTTGACCTTATTGCATAGGCTCCTTGAATTTAGACAAATGTTTTTTTGTAAATATGTTCTCTTGAAATTGTCCGAAATGCCTTTACCGGGATAGGAATTAGGATCGTGGTTTCTCCACAGTGTTTCACGAAAGTGCTGCAAGTTAAGTAACCCACCTCATACAAGCAAAAAACGCGTTATTATCAGGTTTTTCCAGTTTGTTTCCAGGTCTTTCAGAGTCTTTCTGACCCGATCTATGTCCTACTGATATATTATGGAAATATCACTTTTTATACCATGCCATAGAAAATACAGCCAATCAAAATATAGGAAATCCGTTATATTCTCGACGGTATTACACCCAACCTTACCATTAGGCGCTGCATTAATTTTGTTCGCCACGGTATTTTCTATGGGTGGTATCAAATAGTTATGCAACACTTTCTTGTGGTCAAATACAAGTGACTCCCAAGACATCCCACGGTACGCCACTCTAGAGCGTTGCAAAACTGGTGTAAAACTCCAATCTTTGGAATCTCTCAGAAACACTTGTACATGAGAAGCATGAGCTCAGAAAGAACATCGTACATACCAGCACGCGCGTCGCATCGTTTCAGATATCTGTTCTGACAAGGAAATATTTCCTTCAAAAAGCCATAAAGCACCGGGTCGTAACTTTTCAACTCTGTTCTCGTATTGATGTGGTTGTGGATTCCGTTCGGCGGATTTTGTTCGTCGTTGCAGTCGAAAAAACTCTGAGCCCCCTCTGCGAGATACTCCCTGTCGGTTGACATGGCGTACGTATTCCTCCATCTGTACCCCGTCCGCTTTAGGTAGTTGTATCGCTGGCTCAACCTCCCATCAAAACTTGGAATAGCACCGTTTGAAGCAATGCCCAAGTTGTGCAATCCATGGACAAATTCGTGAAGAAAGATGTCCTCTCTTGGGTAGCGATCTCCTCTTGGATAACAAAGAATGTTTTCTTCTCCACCTGGAAAGACAGTACGGTTATAAAATTACACAGAAAACCTATATTTTATGGCTTTTCTTTTAAATAGTCGAGGAAGTCCGATACTGTTGTATGTTAGGAACATGACAAGGGCAAACTTCTTCCTTCCAGGGATTCACTGTTCCTTTTATAAGCATTCCGTGTTCCACTGATTCCTTATAAAATATTGGACTATTTCTGTGTTCCTTGAATTTACTCGCAACCCAGGTCAACAGTTAAACTTTCCACTACACTCCAAAAAGAACGCCCAATGTTCTGCTGTCCGCCAAACTTGATAAAATGGAACATGCTTCTCTATACACAACTGCGAAAAATTGTCCTGCGCCGCCTCGCACCTCAAATTTGAATAGAAGAAAAGAAAAACCTCTGCAAACAGGACAATGGTTCAAATAAAACGCAGTGTTTCAATTCAATCTAAAATTAAAAACAAGCAATGTTTCCCTGACAACATTCTCTTTTTAAAATGTACTTACATGTGGAAATGGGATGGGTAATTGTGGCTCCCAGGCCCCTGGCCCGTTGGTTCCACCAGCTCCCAAGCCATGAGTGCTCAGGGATACTCGTGACACCCTCTCTGGACGCAATCACACCTGCACGTCCATACCTCCTGTAAAACCACGTGCGAATGTCCAGACGATCAGCGAAGAGAAAAACAACGACATAGCAAGCTCTCCGGAGAGCAGCGTCTTGGGCTAAACCGGAACTGATGATGGGAATGCCGTAGGCGTGCAGATACTTCCGGTAGAAACCACTCAGGCGATATTCACTACGAACACGTGATGGGACGGCCGTTACTCTTTCACATTCCCATGTGTTTAACGGCTGATCTTGTCTGTGCGAAGAGCCTGAAAACATAGTTATCTAATCGTTAAACAAGTTCTAGGCAACACTCACTTTGACTTTTCCCCTAGCACAAGTTCACTCGTTCACATTTCGTTTCTTTGAAATTGGTAGTTCTAACAAGGTGGTCGTAACGCGGTGTACCACTGTAGTTGCCTTTCACTTCAATAATATAAATACCACACAACTGCATGAAAATGAAAAAAAAAAAAAAGAAAGAAAACTGACGCAAGAAAGTATAATACTTACCAAGTATGAATTGAGCTCCACCTTTGGAAGTTTCGGCAGCAGATAATGTGTTGTATTCTGTAAAATTTGCTGGAGCTGTGAAGTTTTGCAAACCAAAAAAAAACAATCAACAAATGTTATAAGTTTTATTTCTTTTTAAAAGTGTCATTCCCAGGGTAAAGTGCTCTTCTTCAAGTTCTGTTAGAGAAAAAGTAAAGGTTAAATTTTACACGAATTATTTAGGAGATCGAAAATGTGATTAGTAAAGAATGTTTCGAAGCAAACATTTCTATAATATAAGGTAACTTTTTACTACATTTAGCCGGAAATAGGATGGTGACCTTACCAATGCGTGACACGTTATTTAGGCAAAAATGAGCGCGTGATCCGTGACCACGCAGTGAGGTTCAGGGCTTTGCTGTCGTGATGCTTGAGTGTGTAAAGAGTAAAGAAACAGTGCGTAAAACGATACTACAATCAATCCCCGCTCCTTATGCTCCATCAAAACAAGCTCGCATCTAGTTCTCCGGTGGAATCTTTGAATTTCGAGCAGTAATATCCGAAGTCGCGTTATTATTTTCTATTCGGAACCTTTACAATTAATATGTTGCTCGATTTAATCTTAGGGAGGGATGGCGGAGGTGATAATGTCAAGGTGATGACATAGTAGTCTCCTCCGCAGCCCTTTTATGGATGTCAAGCAAGGCTCACGCAACGTTTCTTTTAGTGAAGCGTTGCGTGACATCCCAGGAGACTAATGACATAGGGGAGGGGGGTAAAGACCCTTCGGTTTTCGCGCGCTCGAAGGGAAAAATAACTCCTAGCAAAAAACTGAAGGTCCGTGGATAGACTACCCTTAAATCTGAAACGATCATCAAGAGTGGGAAATATCTAAAGACGAAGGATGAGGCCGTGAGCCGCCAGAATTGTCATTTATCAGCGAGAAAGAAGAAAGTGAATAAACTAAGAGCTGAGAAAACGTAAGTAAAAGAAAAGGCTGCTGACTTCTCAGCTGTCTATAGATAGACAGAACCATTCATGCATGGATTACAAACAGAATACTATCACTATTAAATTATTGTGTTTTAGTTACATTATATTAGTTAAATTCTATTTTAGGTAATACCATGTACCCGTATAGGAATACCGAAATAAATTGTTGTTGTTGTTCCTCGAAGTTCAGGTAGCGTAACCACCCGCAGTCTATGACGTCTAAAACCCATCTTACATACAAGGCCAAACAATATTCCGTCTTACACAATTTATTCTCATTTCCGTGTGCTGAAAGACCGATGAAACGTGCCTTGCCATGGTACTCCATTGGAGTCGATCGCAAACTTGTTTTCGGAGAACGAATTCCTTTGATTCGCGTTCCCGATACCCTGCCACTAACTGCTTGCGGACAGTGTGGTTCCTGACAGTCTGGTAAAATGAATTCTACGGCAGAGAATTGTGCGAATGATTTGTTGATCTATGTAACAGAGAAGTCCTCCAACATACAAAGTGTTTTCAAGACTTAACGGCTGTGCACAGTGATTCGCTTGAGCATTTGAAAGTAATAAGACACCCTGAATAAGATCGATCTGGAGGCAAATGTCGCATTTTCTCTATAGCTGTTAGTCGACCCGCACAGACAGTGCTAGCGGTGTCAAACGCTTTTCAGTTTCGAAATTGTGACTGCTTCCTTTAAATTGAAAGAGTACTTCTTTACTAAAAAGGAGTTGAGCGTGCACGCGGTTTTCTCGGATCTGGCAAATGGAACCAATCTCAGAGGTAATCCTACCTTTTCCGTGAGACCAGCAGACTCCAGTGCAAAGGACTAAAAAGGCACCAAGAAAACGCTGGGTGATCATCGCGCGCGTTTCTCAGTTCAATCAATACAATTAAGACGACAAATGTGAATCGCACTTGTTCCACGAGAGTGTATTTATTTGTCGCACCAAGGATGTTTCTTCCCACATCATGACGCACTCTGACAGATAACATTACCCATGAGAGCCGATGACCAACCCCAGACGGAAATAACACGTTATTAAATTTGATACGCCCAAAGAGATTTTATGCTCGCTTTAACCCGTGCCTACGCTTCTCTCTATTTCTGCGTCTCAGACTGTCCTTCTTTGGTCTTCTCGGGCATCGTTATCTTTCCAGTACATTAATAATACTTACAAAGGCGCAGGAAGGGCTTACGCGACTAGCTTGCTTCCTTGCTTTTCCCGGGGGGACGGGGTACTCACTCACATAAGTTATATAACCTGTGCGTTACTCAAAGGGTATAGTTTTACCTGAGCCGTCTCAGTCTGAAATAATGTATAGATTTTGACCACTTTGGTCTAAAATGGGGTATGGTTGACACTGACTCTGGCCAGGAATTCGGTATGCTATTTTGCTGAAACTATTTTCTCTCTTTAAAATCGGGACGTCACTCTCGTTTTCGACCGGTTACTTAAACTCATGTGTGTCTCAGACGTACATACATTTACTGCCGGTTATTTACAGGGAAACGCAGGTTAGTGTTGGATATATTAACCTTAGAGGTCTTAAGTAGGTTGTTGATTTTTGTGTCAGTTCTGTGAAGTAGGATTTCGAAAATGCATATTTTGGTCTGAAATGAGGTAAGGTTTTATGGAAAGAGCCACACACACCTCACTAAAAACTTCGGGGAGTACATCCCCCGGGCTTATATGAGGGTTGCGTAACGTAATTTTATAGTATAATACACAGCTATAGACATAAGGGGTTCTGGGGTCAGACCGGCAGACTTATTCTTACGTACAAGGACACATTTCTAAGTGAAAATTGCTAAATACTACTTGCATATGATCGTGACATATGCAACCGCTTAAAAAATTGATGGCTTTTTAACTTCGTTTTCACGGCGGCACGTGCTGAAACGTAGCCGCATTCGACCACTACGTGCTGCTCACTTTTATATGTTGCAACAACGTTACTTACTTTTCAGACTTCTCAAGTTCCAGCCATTAAACGGTATGCATAGTAGTTTAGGCTGTTTTATAATATTGTATATATTTTCATTGTAGCCTGATTATGGTTGGCCGAAGAAAGTAGTCATGAGAAATTAGCATTGAAATGAACTAGTGAGAAAAGTAAATAGCCCAAGAATTTAAATTAAACGTTAGCCAGCACGTCAGGTCTCATTGCCCTAGATTCTGTTGAAATAATTTTACAATTATTATACATATCCATCTGTAGATTGAAACAAATTCTCACGTTAACAGACATCAAGCTTGCCACTGTCTTCTCTTCTTGACACAAGTCAAATTTTCATGAATCAGTGCTAGTTGTCTAGTCTTTAATTTACTTGCATTTGATGAAGAAACTCCCAACATGTTTTACCCGAAAACATGCGTATTACCCTGGGCCGGGCCGTTCAAAACCCGATTAAGGAAGCTCAAAACAGTTTCCAGCACTTAGATTTTGATGGGTCACTATAACCACTATCACGTGATGCTACAATCATGATATAACAAACCTGCCCAATCATATCATTGGTGAACACGTGTTATCATTTTCGTGACACAGTAGGTTACCATAGCAACCGTATGACCGGCTGAAAACACCCTTAATTATCGCTTTAGGGGCTTATAATTGAAAAACGGCACGGTGATTTTTTTTTATATATTATTTATAAAATATTGATCAGCATGATAAGACGCAACCTTTGAAAAGTTCTACAAACTATGTACATGGGGTTCAGAGCTACCTTAAAGTCTCTGGACCTTATGTACAGAATTCTTTTAAACTTTGTAACGGGCTCTCGTGGAATAGTTGCTCATTTGATTTTGCTGTTTAAATTTGTTTTTGTTTTTTCTAAAGTTGCCATCTACACTTCTGAATAGGGTAAGGCATATAGGTTCACGGACAGCTCAGTCCTTCCCATGTTTGAAACATTTCATGGTGCAATAGCGCCTCTTTTTTCATTTTTATGGAAATATTGGTTTCAGGCCCGACTGAATATTCTTATTTTTCTGCGAATTTTTAGGCTGAAAGTATTCCAGGTGAATATTCTTAGATTATAACGTATGACATTTCTGTTGTCAAATGTATTTGGTGTCTGGATGATGTTAAAGTAATTTTGGAGCCAGCCTGCAGGTTACACCTGCAGTATATTTACAAATTTCCAATTCACAAAATTATATTCTGCAAAAAGTCTCAGCCTCGGGTTTATTCTTAAAATATTCTTTAAGATTTAGCAAATTTCAGCCTCGATATTTTTACAAATTGTATTCTTACGAAAAAAGAAAAAGTGTACCCTGGATACCAGAGGTTATATTTCTCTGGCTCGCGATGAGCCAGAGCCAGCCCAGTCCTACTGGCAAGGCCAATAGGGACAATAGGGACAGGTGGCTTTTGGGGACGAGACTGTCAGTGTAAAATTTAGCAAACGAACGAATCTGAATTGTCTTTGAGGATTGTACTGGACTGTTGTAGAAATCTATCTTGAATTTTCGTTCATATTCAGTAAACGTCGGACTTTAAACAACAATACAAATATCAACTATGTAAATTACATGTAGAGAACGCAAGAACCCGGGTAGATTTGTAACGCCTCCAACGCCAGCCTCCAAGTCCTTCTTAACATTATTGTTTTCCCTGTCGACTGGTCTGTGATTGACTGAATGTCGAACTGTTTTGATAAGTTATGACGTGAAGGAAATTCTTAAGCACTAGCAAAAACCCACAATAGCCTGCGCCTAAAGCATGCAAATGAGCATCAACGGACACGGCGCTCTTTAATTAAAATTTATGTCATCTTAGATTCACTTAAGTGAATTTTAACAAATCTTACTTCGCATTCTTTGAAGCAACGCAGTCATGAAAATCGAGGGTGCTGTGGCTATAGTAACCGGCGGCGCTTCAGGGATTGGAAAAGCGACATGCGAGAAACTTTTGCAAGGTGGAGCGAAGGTTAGTAAACCATTCCAAACAACTGTCGAAAAGCCAACACGATAATTTCCGAGATTTCATGTAGCGCGAGAGTTTTATCATTCAAGATTCATGTAGCTATCATGCATCTGTAAGAGTATACGTTCGGTGGAGACGTGTTTTATATATCATAGATATATTTCTTCGATTTTTTCGGCCAAAGCATCACTAATTATCGGTCGTGAGTGTGCGATTGTAAATCTATACAAAAATAATCTCGAGATTTATTTATTCAGCAAGGAGGGGTTTCATTATAAACTGACAACGTGTTACAATAACAACAAACGTTGGCTCTTTTGCTCGGTGAACTCATAAACTGGTATGTCAAGCACTCAGAAGTTTGGAAATTTGTGCGCTCGTTAAATGACTTTTAAAAGGCCCAGCGGTCAAAAGAAATTACATATTAAGCGTACGCTTTGCGTGCGTGCGTGCGGTCTTTTAGTGCTGTTTAGTAAGTTTTGTAATATTTTTTACAGCATACACAAAAACTTATTAGAGTTACGACAATCCTTAGATGAGCCTAACTGCAATATTCCATGAATCCTTTAGTACGAAAAGCTCTTGTAAATACAGAGGTAGCTGTAGTTCCAATTAGGAAGGAAAAAGCATTACTTAGTAAAAACGTCAACACAGTCACGTAGCTTGCCTCCCAGGTTAGTTACCGAAGAATCTATTGTCAGCTGTATTGTAGTGTGTTTACGAATCATTGCGTTTGTAATGGATTAACTAACATTGTATGTATGGAGAACAAATAATAACCTTTTTGCTGGACGCTTTGATGTTCCGGTACACGTAACCCGTGTAACAGATGTTATACTGGACATCATTCATGTCTTTTCAGTGGGAAGTCTAAAGGAAAAGTGTGATTTACAATCTTTTTTTTATATTACTCTGTTTATCGCTAACTGAACCAAAGTAATATAGATCATCGTAACTATAAGCTCATTCTAAGTTTACTTTAGGAATTATAATGTCTAGACGATAAGATTAAAGGTTTGACTAAACTATGCATTTTTTTGTATCCACACTTAAAGATTTACTATAAACTACAGAGAGTCTCTGTAGTTAGCCTCTCTTGTAGTTCATACATGTTCGTGATATGTATCAGTGAATTCTATTAGCATATCTTACGGGCTTATGATTTCGTCCATTTTTTTTTTTTTTTTAACTGACCGACAAAAATTAAGTAAGCCCTTTAGATGACCGAGTGCGGATCGATCTTCCGGAATATGGGGTGCAGATCAAGGTTGTCTCCAAGGAGCAATGACAGATGCCTCGACTTCAGTGACATAACAATTTTTAAAAACCAAAGAGGCATTATTAAGATTTCTATTCTTTTCTGTTCAACAAAAAAAACAAAAAAAACAAAAAAAAAAATAGAATTTGCCCAGCGACGCTGAGGCATCACTGGACTGTACATAGTTCTTGATATTGATGCTCTTCTATCGGCTTACAATTTGTTTGTTTTTTGTTTTTTTGTTTTTTTTGTTTTTGTTTTTGTTTTTGTTTTTTGACACATTGGTGATAAGATTTCTTATCGTGTGCTTCTTCTCTTGTTTCTTTCTTTTCGAATGGAAACGAAATTGAACAAATTGAAAAACAAAAGAAGCTAAAAGTGCTAAAGTATAAGGCTGAGCCTCGATGTAGTCATTTTCCAGACTGATAAAATCGGGTTAATTTACACCTTATATTACTCGGTAAATTCTTTCTTTTTTATAAAAATAGACTATGTTTTATATAAGAATGTCGAGGTTGAAATTTGCGAAATTTTAAGAATATTTTAAGAATAAACTGGAGGCTGAGATTTTGAAAAGAAGATAACTTTGTGTGTTAAAAATTTTGAAATACAACACAATTACATGTTTTTAACTAAGTCATTTAAAATTCTACCTTCTCTACAAAGCAACAAAAACAGCACTAGCTGTATGTTCGATGCTGGTGATATTTCTGCAAGAGGTTATGTACGTCATATCAAGCTTCAATGCCAGCAGGTTAGCTCCAAAATAATAATTACTTTAACACCATCCAGACACTAGATACGTTCGAAAACAGAAATGTCATACGCGATAATCTAAGAATATCCACAAGAATATTCTCAGCCTAAAGTCATAGGCATCGGCAGAAAAATAACAATATTCAGCCTCGGCCGGAAAAAAATATTCTTATAAAAAAGAGTGTATAGTGTGGCAAGTAATTATTGTCCCAACTGTTTAGAAGCTATATTTGTAACCTTCGAAAGACAATTTTAAAAATTGCTCTGCTAAATCTACCGGTACGGATTTCTGGAATAGATATTTGACTAATGCTAACTCGATAGTCAACAAGTGAACTACATAACAGAATCCAAGCACTGGTAACCTGGTTAACGATTTGACTATGAGCCCGAGTCTTCCATGAGCGATGATAGTCAACGAGGAGCTCAAAGAAAGCGGGGACGATTAGTGTAACTATTTTGTTAGACGCTATGTATGAAAGATAACCCTCCAAAAACCTACAGGTCCTACGCGTACAAGAATAATTTTATGTTTTGATATTATGGTTCGTTTCAGATTCATTTCCTTGACATAAATAAGACAGCTGGCGAAGAAACACAGAAGAGCTTCAACAACCAACATAGTGTCGGACAAGCCAAGTTTGTATGCTGTGACATCACATCACACGATCAACTGGAAGGTAGGTAGATATGTTTGGTATTCATAAAGAATGTAGAAAAACTGAAGTTTATTTAGTTAGCATAATTATTTAGTTCTCAATTTATTCAGAGATCCGCGTCAATTTACTTCCTAAACGTTTAGCCGGATGACAAGGAAATAACTGACCAATCTGACTGACTCTCTTGACTGACTGACTGACTGACTGACTGACTGGCTGACTAACTGACCGACTGACTGACTGACTGACTGACTGACTGACTGACAGACTGACTGACTGACTGACTGACAGACTGACTGACTAACTGACTGACTGACTGACTGACTGGTCGACGGACGAACTGACTGACGGAAGGACGGACGGACGGATGGACGGACCGACTTACTGACTGACAGACTGACGGACGGACTGCTTGACTGACTGACTCACTGATTGCATGACTGTCTGACAGACCGACTGACGGCGGGGCTGACTGACTGACTGACCGACTGTCTGACCTTGACTCACTGACTCACTGACTCACTGACTCACTAACTCACTGACTCATTGACTCACTGACTTACTGACTCACTGATAAAGGTAAATTACGTCGCATGTCCTCTTCTTTAGTGTAGAAACTATTCTCAGACAGACAGACAGACTGTCTGTTCGTCGCTAACAAACTCGATTAATGTTCTTTTCCAGCTGCATTTAGAGCCGCGGTAAAAGAACACGGCCGATTGGATATAGTAGTTAATAACGCGGCAATAATGGACGAGAACGATTGGGACAAAACTCTCGATGTAAACCTGGTAAGTCTTCGTAAACCTTAATTAACGGAATGAGAAACCGGTAAACAATATGCCTACCGTTATTTACATGCATATAGTGTTCTGTGTGCTTAGATCTTCCAAGAAATGTTTCCTAATAATTCGCACCTCCTGCTCGAATTTTCCAAGAACATTTTTTCTAATAATTCACCTTGTTGTTCTCCGCAGCACTCGCTCATACGAAGTACATTTCTCGGGGTGGAACTCATGAAAAACGGAGTAATAATCAATATCTCGTCTACTGGAGGTAGGATATAATTAGATCACTCTTAGCAATGAGTCCGAGGGCACAATGAGTGAGATTCCACTCCAGCCAGTTACATACAGAAAATCTGGGCTTAGCTGAGACAAACTTGTTCTAAGAGTAGATACCTGGGAACGAGGTTGCTGCTTATCGCGCTGTGACTTGTGGGTTTATCGCTTACATACACTGTAGGCTGAAGTGAAGTCAAATGACGTCAGTTACCGCACTGTAGGCGCTAAACAAGTTGGCTTACAGATGTCGATATAAACTTATCAGTCGACACAAAGCTCTTGCTCGTAATATGTACAAAGCAATGGCCTGTAATCATTGATGAGTGCAAACACTAACAGAGGCAGCTGTGACTGAAGGAACAAATTAAGATACTATTATCATGGCTGACAAATTACTCCTTAATTGTGGCACGAAATTTCAGTGTTAATTTATAATTTCCCATGTGAGATTATAAAATTAAATTGTAATGGCGACGTTTGGCGCGAAGTTTCTCGATACAATAAACAAGCCAAAAACTCGCGATTGTAAGCGTCATTTGTCAGCTATGATATATTGTAACTTGTCAGCTATGGTAAACAAATAGTATACTCGTGAAATTATTTCCTAACTTCACTCGTCACCATTTGATTACCCATACGTATCTAAGTGACCTAATTCCTTACGGCATAAATAACACAATAATTATCACCGTGTATTCCCACTTAGTTCCAAACTGAGAGAGTATGGACAATGACCGTTCAAGGACGGGTAACTGAACTATTTCCTTATTCGTACCATTAAATACAGATATATTTTTCGTTCCTTCCTGACAGGGATCCATCCTGTTTCATTTTGCCCTGTTTACTGTGCTTCCAAGTTTGGCGTTATAGGATTTACCAGAAGTGTAGCCCCGGCAAGTATACAACATACAGTTTCCTTGAAATTCTAAACTGTTTTTCTATTTCCTGGACATGGCACCGTACGCGTTTGTTTGGGAACTTAAATCACAAATTGAAAAGATGCCTATTGAATTGGTCATTGTAACGCCATTTTGAGGCTTGAGTTAGGGGCCGCCCCAACGTGACCAAAGTCTTTAATGTCTGAATGTAGTATGCTGAGATCCCAAATATTCTATTGTATAAATAGTTCTCATAGCATTTAGTAACCAATTGGTTTTGTTCTTTTGGAAATCCGCAAATATGATTGGTTCGTTCATCGTTTTCTATTTGCTGATTGGCAACGATCGTGCGCGCACTGCTTTTGAAACTGGAAACTATTCTTAAGTTTAAGCTTTAAAAATCACTAAATTGTAGGTTTTGTGCTCTAATCCTGTAGAGTGTCTACTAAATCAGTTAGAATACACGTCCTCGTTTTCTGTGAGCGATAGCCAACTCGGCTATGCCTCTCTGACTAACTCAGTCTCGTAGTCTAGTTGTTAATTAGCACCAGTGAGGCGGACCACCAGGCCTTTTCTAAACTATAAAGGTAAGTACACGCCTTTCATATGCTTTATTTTCAACAGACAGCCTTCAGGAAGAAAGGTATTCGTGTGAACTGCGTTTGTCCAGGGGGTACAGACACAGATATTTACAAGTCAATGGAGAGAATGGAGCTGACGAAAGAACAGCAAGAACTCGCATCTAACACACCCAAACAAAGGTGAGACTCAGTTGCACCTTAAGTATACCTGATTCTTTACATAACGGCCAAATAGCTCATTGTAGATTACCAGGCTGGGCAAACGCGCTCGTCTGGTGAATGAGTTAGTATTCAAACAGTCTCCTTTCCTGCCTTTATGCTGGTTCACTTATGATACTTCATGTATTGATTGCTATAAGAAAAAAAAATCGATTTTTACCATGGGAGGCATGAAAATGAGTTGAAATTGCTGACTTGTTTCAGTAATGATGTTCATCAGTAGAGAGTTTGAAGTAAATTTGGCATAAGTACTTTTACTGAATCACGAAATAAGTTGACAAGTTTTAAAAGTGTCTTTCAACGTGTCAACATACTTGAAGAATTCTTCTTGCACGGTTTTAACTAAATTTGGTGTTGTATTAATACGCGAAAAGGTTGTTTTATGATTTTTTTGGTAGGCAATAGCTTCTGCAATAATTTATTTTAAACATCAAGAAAAACAGGACCCAGATAGTAGAAAGCACTTGTTCGATTTTTCTCCGTGGTTACCCTTGCACGCCTCTTTTATGCAGTTTTTTCAGCAGTTTTTGCTGTATAGGAATTTTGTTTCGGTGATATCCCTGATTTGTTGTCTAGCTAATCACTCCGTAGTGAAACGAAAACAAAATAATTTCAAACTTAGCAGGAGTATCGATCAGACATAAACGGTCTTAGCATAATTAATATATTCACTGGAAAAGTTGAAAATTTACATGGACATGTCAATTTTAATTTACAGTATGTAAGTCTTGATTTACATTCTTTGTAAATTACAATTTACATGTTAGGGTTTTGTAAAATAAAATTACAGGAAATTTACAGCTTTTAGTACAGCATGTAAATGTTCTGTAAATAGTGATTTACATTGTTTTTGTCAACAATGATCATTTGAAGAACATGTAAAAACCTGTAAAATATTTTACGCACTTTTACAGTATCTGCCTTTGTAAAAAACATGTAAATTGCTTTGCTAAA